TTCTGCCGCATTATGGTATTTCTTTTGTCCACAGCGCAATATTCTACGATTAAACTCGCATCGCCAGAAATTTGATATACCTGCATCTTATCAAAAGAACGTGTCGATTAAACCGTATCACAGTAATGTTATGGCATGTCTCCAGTACGTACATAGCAGATATTTATGATAATTCGCTTTGAATTGATCCTGTTTATTAAAAAATAATTGTACTTTTTTATGCACAACAGAATTTTCTAAAAAAGGTTTCAATGTACTGTATATATTTCAAGAAATGGGTTCTTAAGCTACTCATTTCAGTTTGCTTCTGAAGGATTTGGGGAAAAATCTGGACTGAATATTTAACAAGAGTACACCCTAAAAACTGGATTTACTAGCGCCGTCAGTTTGTAAGGTTTTAAAAACAGGGGCGTGTATGGTAGCGAAATCCTAATTATCAACAGCGTAATATGTTATACATTAAAATGCATCGCTTTATCCTATCCATATTGGAGTTCATCGTATTTTTGTCCAGCCCTGATTTAACACAGCCTCATGAAAATTGCAAATATGGAATAAACAGAACACCAGCCTACATCATTCAGACTCACGCACACACTGCACAATCTGTGCTTTCAGCTTTTCCTGCCGTGGCGGGAAGCAAGAGGAGGTGATATCAGTGATGGACTCATGGGCGTCGCCAGAATTATTTCCGGGCGGGGGGGGGGGAGGTCAGAGCACTTATCAGCTGCAAACGGTTGACGGTGAAGGGGGGTTGAGTTTTTTTTTTTCGAATCATGCGAATTGATGATTTTCATCACACCTATTTTTGCGTAGGTGTTTCTGACATTTTTTTATACTTGATTTCTTGGTCTTTTTTTCAACCTTGTTGCATTATACTTATTTGTATTTCTGAATGATTATCATTGTTATGGTCTTCCCCTTGGGTCGACGCTGGCTCAGTGGAGGCTCAGCATTTCACCATTGCTTCCGGTTGAGATTCCAAATCCACTTTTCTTTATTATAATTTACCTTCTTATTTCGACTGATTTATTTAATCGATTGCATGTATATTTTTCACTCGATTTTTTAAAATTAAGTTTAATAGATTCAATTCATTCACTCTCGTTTATTTCAGTTTACAAATCCTTTACTTTAATTTTGTAAATAGTTTTTGTTCATATATCTTTGTATATGAACTTGTGTTTTTTTAATGGAAAAAAGGATTTCATTTGAATGGTCAAAAATGTCTTCAGTTTTTGGATTGCATTTTTTTCTTGTTTTTTAACCCTTAGGGTAACCCCTCCCGGCAACGCCCATGGATACACTGTTTTCGCCGCTGAGCCACAAACAAGCGTAACTATGTTGGTGGTTTTTTGTCCGAGCTGCTAACTGTATAATGCCTATCTCCGTCTGCCCGTTTCTATGATTTAATTGTCACAAATTATCACAATAATTGTATCATGTTTCACATAGGTCCAGTTTTGTTACATTAGAGCCAATCTTAGTTTTTCCATTCAACGATACGGGCGATTCACAGAAGTGCGCCTCCAAGAGTTTGCAACGCGTTGGCCAATCACAATGCACGAAATGCACTGTTGAGAAACGCCCGTGTTTATTCCCTCCGCGTGTTTTTTTCCGGGGGAATGACAGGTAATTCTTATTTTTTTTATCCGGAGAAATGCGTTGCCTTTCCGCGTGTCATCTAACATCTCAGGGTTGATTAGAAGAGGGACGAGAACTCGAGCGACGGACGGGGTATTATGCAGAGATTAGCCGCTGGGGAAGGCTAGATTGGATTCCTGACCGCGGGGGACTGGAGGCTTCTACTCAGAGAGAGAGGGGGGACTGTCCCCTGGTCCTGGACGGAATATAATAACTGCAACCGGAGAGGTTCAGGTGGTGCGGAATGCATTACAGTGCATGTGACGAGATTAATATCAGATTTTTTTTGGGGGGGGGGTTGCCGGCTTGCCTTTACCAGTAGCCGAGAGATTATCAATTACTGAGCGCTTAAGACCGTTGAAAATTTTGTGTATACGGTTTACCCGGTGGACGCCATTGCAACATTCATGCGTATATTCATACAGGGTACGAATTGATGACATAATGGTTTATACAGAGGCTTTGGAAGGTGACAGAAAGAAAGCAAGTTGGGCGACAATGGCATTTTTTTCAGAACAGATGACAGTCGAACAAATCTCGAGGAAGTAAGCGCTAAAACAGTGTCAAAACTTCAAAAAGACTTTACCAATCATTTAAAAAATATCAAGAACATAAATCTGAGATACAAAATAAGAGTGAAAAAAATCATGTCCCTTTTATACGCGTTTCAATTTCCTATTACAATTTTAGTATACTAATGGCTTGTTATTTAAACGAACATATCATCATTCTCTTTTCTCAGGATCAGTGGATGGATTAAATGATCATTATTTATTCCCAAACCAGTGCCTCGTGAAAATATTCGATCTCAAGCAGTTATAGCCTCAGAGATCTCTCCATATTTCACCTGTCAACAGTTTCTCGAAAGGAAGCCGCGACTCTCTTAAAAACACCTTGTCATTTTGTTTTTCCGCCACGGGGTAAATCAAATATGGCCAATCACACAGACTTCCTATGAAGAGCTCAGTCGCCGACGCGTCTTGAGTCGAGGGGCAACTTCCGGAGTTGTCAAGCAAAAAACTTAGGGCGGCCTCTGGCCCAATTAGGTGCCTATGAAAAAAAAGTCCAGGAAAACGGCGGCATGCACTGAAAGCAGGCTTCCTTGGTGAAATTGCTACATTTTAGCAACTGCCACGACACTTTTGTTGAAGTACAGACCAGTAAGGAAAAGAAATCAAGGCTAGAATGACCGACAAAAATTGGAACTGAGTAAAGAATAGGAGCTGCACGATGAAACTTAGGCTAGACAGGGCAGAGCCAGCTGGTAATGTTTTTTAAAACTACATGAATGGCGCATAAGTAAAACCAAGGACACGAAAACGATACAAAGTACAAACCATGCATGAAGTCTGAAGAACTTGCAAGGGAAACAAAATCTAAAACACAGCTTTTTATAATAATGGAGAACCGAACTGTTAAGTATGAGTCGCGACCGTCTGGAGATCTGACTGATTTGATCGTCAACCGTCTCTGTTTCCTAACCATTAACTGATGCCCTATGACACTCTATTATGGTAAAAAAAACCCCGTGACTAAACAAGGCTATTCATCATTGAGTTTCCCAACTTACGACCACCAATGAAGTGTCTTACATCGTGAGGTCAGAAGCCCTGGGTGACCTCCTCAACCGTGACTCTCATATGAAGCAACTTGATCCGTCTCAAAAGCAGGTACCGCAGTGTTTTGCCAGTTCGATTACAACGACTCGTATCCCAAAACCCGGCAGAGGCAATTCACATGAGAAAGTAAAGAACAATTCTCTGGTGTAAAACAATAATGTTCCGTCATCGTAACACACTCTGTGAAATATTTCGTGTGTGGGTGTGCGTGTGCTGCCTTCTTTTGCCATTTCCGCTTCTGCTAACCATACATGTATTTAAATATGGGCTTCTTGAGTAACTCTGTTATCGAGACCGCTTTGTAAGTGGGTGACTTCTTTTTATCCAATGGTAAGGGGCCTTGAGATTTTTTAACAATGTAAAGCGCTTTTGAAAAGGCATTACATGCAGTATTATTAATATTATTTTATTTTCCGAATGCATCCTGACTTCTCACGTGCTTTAAAGTAATGTTTAACAGTAGCGGTGTCGAGAAAGCTTCGCTGCTGTATCTTAGAAACATCCACTAATCAATTGGGGAAAAGAATATTTTAAAAGTTTTAGTGGTAAAATGAAGGTATAATTTATTACTTATTACACCATCTACCGATTTCCATGCCTACTTGCATTTTCCCCACACGTCTGGATAATTTGTCTTCAGTCGTGGTTTCACGCTTGTTGATTATTCTGTGCTAGCGCTGATATCTGAACGATGTGCTTCTACCAAACTGTACGTGCAGCACTAAACTTAGCCTACTGACCATAGAATCATCCAGAAAAAAATTTTCTTCAGAATTTGAAAGCAATAAATGGCTGTCTGAAGCTCGCATCAGAAGCCACAAAGGCCACCCTAGCCACAACCGATATCGCAATGGCCATGCCCCGAAGCCAGAAGTCTTTGCAAATTGTATTTTCCAAACGCCACCCGATCCGACTGCCCACCTCTGTCTGTTATCAAACGAGGCTTCTGTAAGAAAAACACCACGTTCGAATCATGTCGGTAATATATAATTGTATAATGTGATATGGCTGCCATACTAATGAATGAGGCTCAAATCGATAAAGCTTTGAAGGGAGCATTTTCCCCCGGTAAGACAAACTTTAAGGCTAAAACTTTGAGCATTGGTTCAATAACCTTTTCAAGAAAGTCCCCTCTGTGATTTGAACAACGAGCATCTTTATCCTTTTCCTTTGCCACTACACCATGCAAGCCAGCTCGACCGAAATCCCTTCTTCCTTCTTTTTGTGCCTATAACCCCACATAAAGATGCTGAAGCTATTACGTAATCCATGTGCCTATTATAATATGTAACTAGCATCCTTCGAGTATGGTATTTTGCTTTCAAAGCCTCGTTCAGTATAACAGCGACGGGTAGTCGGATCGGTTGCAAAGGTGGTCACTGTACAGACCAAAGTACCATCCACGGCTACATGTAATTTACTTTCAATGTAGCCCAAGGCCCCCCAGAATACATTTAGCAGATGGAAACGTGGTTTTGCTGTTGCCGCGATTTTTTTTAATATGCATAGCCCATAGAAATCTTTTAATCGTAGTGGAGAAAATATGGGAGTTGGGGAACACCACCCACACCTTTTGCTCGGGAATGCCACCCGAGAAGTACAGAGTAGAAAATATATGGACAATGCAGTATATCCATATGACCTTCAAATCCTACCATATCTTATCGGTTTCAATTGTTTGTCAATAATATCTACTATTTCCCTTTTATGAAAGGCAAAAATGTGATGAATATTTACCTGACAGCATTGACACCACTGCTGCTATCAGAAACGATAGCACAATGGCTGGTCCCGCCTCCTCTCTCGCCACTTCCCCAGCCAGCACGTAGATACCCGCCCCCAAGGTGCCACCTACACCGATCGCCGTTAGGTCGGCCACGCCTAGGCACCTCGACAGCTCCGTTGTCACCAGGCCCTCGTGGTCTAGAGTCTTGGTGCGGGCGAGGCCTCGCAACCACTTCAGCGGCAGCCGCATTGCGGCCCCTCGTAGTCAACCCCGTCGAAAGCGTCGAATTTCCTGTAAGTGCCGGGAGTGCGAGCACGGTGCGTCGTACGTTCCACGCCTCGTCGTACAGGCCTGTTGACTCGCGGCGCAGAGACCTCGTATGTGAATCAGTGTCTGTGGTGATGGTGCTGTCTGCACTCTACAAGAATGAAAGCATAAGAGCATGTGCACGCCTGAGATGTGGGTCATCCATCTCACTTGTGCCAGCTTTCATCCCGGATGCTGCGCATTGAAGCATATCTCCCCCTTCATTGCAAAGAGTGTGCTCGACGTTTGAACACGGGAAGTTGTGTAGACGGTGCCTGCATGCTGCCTGCAACTTCCGCCATCGTCAATGAGCCTCTCAAATTCAGCGAGGGCGCTATGCTACAGCAGAAGATACTAAATCATTGATGGGTTTGGTTGGTGCGGCGTGAACTTTTCATTCTACGAAAAACGGACTAATTGACGGTGATGCGCCAGACTGGGCGTATAAACCAATGACAAAATATCCCCCGCGTAATAAGGATTGATGTCCATAATTAAAATGACGTCAAGTTGCTCGCTTACCCCCCCTCTTCTCTGGATGTGCCACTGCTTCAAAAAGATTAAATTGAAACACGCTGTGATAAAAGTGGCTAAAAAGGATAATGACAAACAAGTGTTTTTCTTTGACAACTCCCGTTTTATTCGGTGCGTAAAAGGCCATTATCAGTCCAGGCTGCATAAACACAAATAACCCAACATCAATTCACAACGTTTGCTCACCTGAACTACCAACGTCCTACTTCTGCTTTCTTACAAATACAAAAGGATATAAGAGACTTTGACACGCTGATGGCGGCTGAAAAACTGGTCCCTTTCCACCATAGGCTTTCCCTGCCAATTTCAGAAAATGTGTGTATGAATTTGTAATAGCAGCATTCGTTTTCGAGCGAAATAGAAAGAACATTTAAATCCCCGTTTCTTTTTAACAAATACAAATTCTATTCCACTGAAGGTGTGTTCAGTCGTATTAAGTCAGCATTGAATTTCCCGATAGTGCACTAGTTTAGTTTGTCGACCTTCATTTGTTGCGCGAAATCAAATGCACCTCTGCAATCCTGTTTTCATTTCATTTTAACTCAAGCTATTTCGCAAAATATGCAGACGGTTGTGCCTGTGTGTTTTATATAAGATATGCATGGTCAGGAATTGAACTCGTTTGTGTGCTAACAGAAGTTATATCAGAACAACGCGCGCATGCTCAGAACTGAAGAGGAATGAAGTGTTTGCCGCCACCTAGCGTCTCAAAGTCTCCCGCTGAACAATATTAGTCTGGCTCTTCTTTGTGGGTTTCTGGTCGAATATTGTGTCATTTATCAGTGTGAACCCAAAATGATGGTGGTAAAATACAACGTAGCAATGGTGTGTGCCCATGGCAGGGTGCGCTTAAACTTATGTTGAATAACCGCGCCAGCTCTGGTCATAAACTCTGAGAAATCTTCTAGGAGGTACATTTTCTCTGGCTGCTTTCTATTTTTCAGTTTGACTCCTTACTGAAATGAAGCACACGTGTACGTTATGGGTTCCGTTATATTTGGCCGTCCCCTCTTTGACAGGTTTTAGTTTTATCACTTTCCAACCTCAAATTATTGCTATGACGATATCACCCACTGAAGTACATTTACGACGTGTAGATGGAGGTACCAAAATTACAAAAGGTTCACACATTGTCACACAATTGCGACTGAATATAGTCATGACAGCATATTGAGATACATTTTACATAAAAATTACATTATACTTGAGCTATGCTATATAAATTGCATAGTACATAGGCTATATATTATCACACATTTATAGTTATTTACAGGAATCTATAGTTATATGATAAACGATTATTACTATCTGTTGGCCCTGAACCATGGATATCACACACCACGATACATTCGCACACCTCTATACATGATCCTGATTTTACACTTATTCACAACATGAATTTTATGGAAGTGCTATTAACGGTGACAAATCTACACTGAGTTGTAAAGAATGGATGACAAATTGTTTTCTTTATATTTATAAAGTAAAAAGACTATGTTACTTTAATATACACATATCTATATTTGTTTTGAAGCGCAAGGTGCGTAGGACGTACGCAAGTTCAGTATACAAAGGCAGTCATAACCCTTTTTCTTCTTTTTGTTGGGACCAAAACGAAACTTTTTAAAAAGGCGTGGTCGATGCCATTTACAATTGAGACCTGTGTAGAATCCTGGCGTCGCTCATGTAGCATGTGTGTGACAAATACCGTTCTAGCGCACGCTCTGTGCAGTTAAGGAGTTCGTGTTGTGCAGAACGCATTTCGCAGTAAACTGTTGTGGGATGAGAGTACTGTGCCAACAAAGATTACTTATTCTGGATGTATCTGCAAAAGTCGCAGGGAACTAAACTTTTCCAAGTTTAATTAAGTCAGTAAAGCTAGGCAAATTTGATGAAACGGACTCCAATATCAAGCAATCCTGACAAATTTAAGCCATCCAATTTCCCCAAAACTTTGTAAGCCAGCGTTGCAGTTCACTATTATTGTGATATCCTACATACTTTCTTAAAGACGGAATGCGATCAGGAAATGCCTTGACAATCATTCAAAGCGGGTTACGTATTTTATACATTTTGCTACTCCATTTATAATATCACCTTTACAGTGGTATGTGGGTACTGTAATCATGGAAGAAACTAGGCTAAGCAAAATGTTCTGACCCTGTGAAATCAACTACTTCCTTATTTGAAAAGGAACATGTAGGCCTACGATCTCATTTCAGCACATACCATAAATGGAAGGCATGATATCTTAAACCAAGGTGTAGTTCAATCCGACCGACGCTCCTGCTAACTTCGTTTCATAACTGCAATAATCTGCATACCGAACTGGACAATTAGTCTAGGCGTTACTACTGCCAACAACGATAACATCACAAAGATTAATCAAACACTACAGATATTTAATTGTTTGCAGTAAAGCAAAAAATGAAAAGAAGACAAAACCACTTTTAAAAGACGCTTTAAACTAGTATTGTAACAAAGATCAATTCATCCAATCAAGACGAAGCATTAGTCCGCCCAAAACTAACACCATAGAGTCACTGGCTAGTTTCAATGTTGGGCTTTCTTGGCAGGATGCCAGAAAATACATAATTTTTCCATTTGCTTGCTTTTTATTCTCTTTTCAGTTTGAATCACCGAAGACTTCGAAAGGCTTTATATCTTTCACGTGAAAATCGTTTAGCCCGTTGGGTGACAGTAGTTGACTTTCAGCTTATTCACAACTTGGGTATTAAGCAGTCTTACATAACAAACAGATGCCCAAATACTGACGAAAAACAACTCATCTCTTTTAAGTCAATCATTGGGTGATCGGCGAAGTTCTAAATCACATTATTTTCTGCCTCGTTCCAACTTAACTGAAAGACGGAAAGGCTGCTAGCTGGCTCCAAGAGACGAAATTATTATGCCATAGTGGGATAATATAGTGACGTGTCAATGTGGTTCAGGTTGCTTCAAATAATTTCGGGCAGCGTTCTGCGTCACCATCTTCGTCTCCAGACTTTGCGATACCTAAACATTTGAAAGGTATCTATGAACCCTGCTAGCTTGGGGTATGTTTCAATGGACAGAACTGAAGTTTTGAACAACCCGTGTTGAAATACTGTGATTTGTTTTTAAAACCTGCGAAACTGTGCTAATTCAACTTCTTAAAACAAACAAAACAATATCCTGCAGTCGTACACGGTACAATGTGCAAGTCTCCCAGCGTTGTGTTGCGGACGGGAGTTTAGTACAAAAGTAACAAAACGTACGAAGGCTGGTTCACACGGACTCTTGGTATAAAGTCGCGGCTGCAAATAAGGCTAGTCGCATAGCGATTTGCCCCAACCGCCAAACTGATGTCGTTAGAAGACCACGTGGGCCTCTATCAGACTGGGGTCTCCATACTCTCTTCATCAGCCGTCTTTCCGGCAGACCGTGAAGCCACTGCGGCCGGGAGACGGCTGGAGAGAGGAGGCCAAGAAGGGTCGGCAAGCAGCTCCCGCTCGACCTGGTCGTGCTTGGTCAAGGTTTCACCTCGGCACCTGCGGCAAGTGATTAGACGCTTCAGCCAGCCGCTCTCAGCGATGAAATTCTACCAAGTGGATGAAAAAGGTAGGCTTGGTCAAGGAACCAAGAGATAGAATGGCATCTATACGGTACAACGGTATAAATTCGGATCAGTACCATCTGGGCCCCACACATTTTAAGTGCACACATCCAAAAATATTGGAACATTTAACTATTTTTACTATATTAAAGGTTTTCTCAGTTACTGTCCCTCGCAACTATTTCAGAAACGACAGCTGTTTCTGTTTTAAGCAGAACGAGCCAACAGCAGGACAATACAACACACAGTGGAAAGCAATACACAGTGCATTGATGAAGGAGGAACCAAGTGCCATGGGCTTCATACAGACTAATCCGAGGAGATGCCATAACTGCGGTGGCACCGCACTCAAAATAATGCACACTCTCCAGCTTGACGCGCGCGTGCATTTGGCAAATCCTGACACCCTATCCGGTTCGTGAGTGACTTCGTCACAAAGGCAAACGTGCCACGATTTGCAGGCTCTCATTGGCCAATCGCTGAAGGTGCGCGTTAACTTCCGGTTCCATGTAAACGGCGATCAACGCATGTAACCCTATGTGCAGTGCAAATGTGCAGTGTGCGTGGTTTAAACTGAATGACGTCACACTTACGAACCGGATTGGTCAAAGAGGAATGTAACGCGCGGGTAACAACTGCCCACACGCGTTGTGCCACCTCAGTAACGGCTTTTAATTACGGTTGTCGAATTACACCACGTGAAAAACTTAAGTCTATCTGAACTCAGGTAACTTACTTCAAGCAGAAGGCGGCATACGAGATAGGCTACGGCCAGCCCAAGGATCATACATCGAAAATTAAGAGGAACATTCTTCAACTGTCGACAAAAGATCAAATAAACATCGACATGAAATTGAATCAAACTACAAAATAATTCGATTGTTGCATAGCATTGCCACCTACCACAGGTCTCAATTTTTATACCAAAAAATACTCACCAAAATGAAGTCGTATATTGGTCGAACATACACCATAAGCACGAAAGTGGTGAACAAAAGCAGCACGATCAGATCGATGGTAAACAAAACTGGAAAAAAATCCGAAGAAAATAATCGTTTTCACTTGATCAAAATTTTAAAATATTATTAATAATCGATACATTGTTAAGTATTCACTCGAAAGACATTAGGGTTTGTAAACAATTAACAAGCAGTGGGTAGTTTTCTCCCAATCCGGTTCGTAAGTGTGACTTCACTTCAGTTTAAACCACGCCCACTGCACTTGCACTGCACATAGAGTGACATGCGTTTATCGCCTTTTACTTGGAACAATGGAACCGGAAGTTAACGCGCAACTTCAGTGATCGTCCAATGGGAACCTGCAAATCGTGGCGCGCCCGCCTTTGTGACGAAGTCACCTACGAACCAGATTAACCTGAGCTTAGCTTTTTTGTTTTCACCATCAACTTCAAAATTTGTCGTGGCGATCACAATCACTATGGTTGCAATTTACTCTTGCACAACCGTCGTCACCATCAATACAGTTCTTATCTCGTTAAACGTCAAACTTCACCTCAGTGCAGTTTTCTCATATCATATTAACCAGCTGTGCTGTTATCACCATCGCGACCTTGACAATCTATAGCTATCTTATCATCACTATAACCTCGATCACTGTCTTGAACGACACCATGTCCACATCCATAACTAACATCACGTACCAGGTTACCATCATCATTATCCTTATCGCAATATCTTTGAATCATCACATCACCACCTTTGAGTCCACCACCTGACGACTTCCATCTCCATGCACTGACCTTAAAGTCCGCCCTTACAACCACTTCCGTCACCGACGTCTTTTTTAAAACTTACTGTTGGTGTAAATCGGTTTTCGGTAGGGCGGTCCCCTTGAGAAAAGGAAGGAGACCACAATGTATAGGAATGATGAGATGAAGAACATTGTGGTAGCCTCGAAGTTGAAGGCATTGACGATGCCGGACTTGTCAGGAACTAGCGGTGTAAACCTAAGAAGGAAACATTCAACGATGCGACAGACGTTCACCCAAACGGTACAATGACTAGTGTCCAGGAAAGGGTTCAAAACGTTGCGTGACGTTTTTAGCCAGTAAGCTGTTTTTGTCGAGAAATGTGCTACACTTCACACAAAACACAATGAGGAGGCTAGTGAGTAATAGTCACCTTTAGTCATGTTTCCCTAATGGTATGACATTTTGCCATGCCTTGAGTATTTCAAAACCCTTTTCTTCATGTGCATCAGGATGGAGGTTGTAGCTGGATTGAGGCCAAAGGGTAAATTCCGTTTTGAAATGAGGGAATAACAACGTTGTAAAAACGTAAAATGCTCCACTGAACTGCGGCCCGCGTGCCTATCCACAAGTATCAAATGTCTTTGGGCGCTGAGACACTTGCAAAAATTTATAGACAAAGAAAAATACTTCTAACGTGACTAGCCCCATTTCCTCTGTTTTGTATCACTTTTTCAATCCAAAACAATTTGGCTCAAGGGTCATATTATTGCTTAATGGTAAATTTATGCACTGATCATTATTCGAATCAACCAAAAACTCACCAAAAGGAACATGCATAAATCTTTGGCTGGAGACCTGGTCTTGCTTAGCAATTATATTTACTGTGCTCAGCAGCGCCGTGACCTAAAACTGGGGCCGTGATTCCTTTTACCCTGCTTACCAGGGTTGAACGGTGAGCATGATGTACGCCACGACCTGGACGAGGAGCTGCAACAGAATGTGACCGAAGACAGAGAAGAGGATGGAGGGATCGGTCAGGTTGGCCTGCGGCTTGCGCTTGACGATGGTGTGGTACGCCTCGTTGCGTGCGACTGTCGAAGGACAGAATGGAAAAAAGGGAACCAATTTTTTACAGAACTTAAGCAGACTTAATGCGGGTCGTTTGGGAGCTTTAGAGTACTGGTCAAATATCTTTGTAAGGCAGTCACTTCATCTAATCTCCGTTCCCTTGTATGTTGGCGTGTGAACCAACCGCGACCGCCGAGGTGGATCCAGCTTTACCAACCTCTAAACGTCGTAACTGACACCATCTCGTCCAAATTCAAAATCATCAGTAAAAGACGTCTCCTTTGTTAGGATAAAAAAATGTTTCTTATATTATAAGAAACACACTCACTTCATGGTTTCAACCGACTATACATCGATGATTATCAAAGACACTGGTTTTTCGAAACATGTTTGCAATCAACGGGTAAGGTGAGATAAATTAACGGGACCCTATCCAAGTCAAAGGAACAAACGGAAGCAACTCACTCAACAGTGCAACTGTCGTAGTGATGGCGATATCCCAATACATGAACATGGCATCGCTAGGAAAACCATCCACCTGTGTCAATATATTTTCAGAAGGAAACAAATGAAACAAATTTTGATATTCAAATGAACCCTGGGAGTTAACTACATGTAAATATAAATGAAAACCACATATATTTTGCATCGTGAACAGTTCTGAGCGTCTGTGCGGCTGCCCACACTGCTTCGAACGATGTTCAGCGCCTGACAAAGCACTATAGAAACTACATCAGAAGAAAGCACATTCTTTAACAATTATTGAAAAGAACTAACGGAATTCAAAATGATGACGGAAGTGAACTGGATCATACTGTAGATGGCCATGTACTTGAAGACACCGAATGACGTCACAAGAGCGGCACGCCCCTCCCTGACGGAAAGAATAGATTGGTGAAAGAAGAAATATTTCTAGACAGTGTTACTAACAGGTGTATGACGATAAGAACTTACATAAAAGAGATAAGCGATTGCCTACAAAGCGGATGATTCGTCAGCATTTTCAAGCGGGACAGGCACATAAACAATACAAACCAGCATATTCTTTTCGTTCATCTCCGAAGGACCTTTTCATCTAGAAAACTGAGTAGCGTTTGGTCATTAGCGTTCAGTCGCAAATTACAGAATACACGTTACGATCCAACTCACGCGTGAGCCGCCAGACTTGTTCCCTGACTTACTTGATGAGGATGGGTACGCATTCGATGTTCTGAATCTGAGAGGTGAACGGCGAGGCCACAGACGCCTCGGCCTCGGACAGTGAAATGCCGGTGTGAGCCGTCTTGAGAGCGCCGCAGTCATTTGCCCCGTCGCCGCACATACCAACATGTAGGCTGGTGAACAGAAAGCGGCAAAAACACCTCACCAACCGTGAAAAGTTGACAAGTGTAATCCAGAAATATAGTTACCCAACAGACCAATCCAGATATTGAACCCTTGTTCCTCGTGTGCGTTTAATGAGGCTCGTTGTGCCAAACATCAAAACTATATTTCCAGTACAATAATCCCGAATGTCTTATTGAAAAACTCATGTCTAGAGTACCGAATAGAGAATAGAGTACCGAAGTGTGACGTCACCGTGAACCAGAAAATGCAATGCAAACGAATGGAGTACGCGCGCGTGTTGGTTCACGCGCTGGTTCTCGCGCTAATGTCTTTTACACACTAATTGTGCGCGTGACGTATTCACTTCGGTTCAAACTGGAAATCTTGAGAAGTTCCACTCTCTCAAAAACTTACTCAAGATCTTGAATTGCTTCGATGAGCTGAGCCTTCTGGTCTGGAGACATGCGGGCGAACACTGTCCCCCTAGCTGCTATCTGAAATATTATCAGGAAGCCACTACACAGATTTTACTGTGTTAATGTACTTCTAAAATCTGGGATGTCGTTCTGGATTGTTGCCAGAAATCTTACCTGTCCACAAACTTGTTTGCTCCTTTTAAATGTAACTGTTGTCTCAATATTTACTTAATTTGTTTTAGTGTGATTTTAAATGGATTTTTGTCATATCTGTATGTAGATGCTTTAAAGTTAGAAAAACACTTTTCATGTATTCATGACGAACAGTAAAACTGAAACAGGAAAGGTGTCATTAACAGTTGTTTTTGCGGCGAGAAATTCTAAATCATCCACCAAAAATAAGACAAAAGTATTTGTTTTCACGTTGTCAAATACCTGTTTCCAGGCCACTTGATACTCTTGACGAAACCATCATTTCTAGATCAAGCTGACTGACCTTGGGCATGAGTTCCGGAAAGTGTTCAACCATGACAGCGTACGTCTTGCCGTCCATGGCAAAGTGGTATGAGTTAATGTCAATGGCTGCCTCGGCACCTGAAAACGTCAACTGAACTTCGTCCGGTATCTGGAGCAGAGAGATTTTTGAGCACGACTGCCAATAATACTTATCGGTCTCAAAAAAATAGGCAAAAAAATCACAAGTAAGTATGTTATGCCGCCCGGACAGCTCCATCACATGTCGAAATTGTTCTACCGATACCTGCAGCTTTTGCACGGCAGATCTACGCAAGTCCACGCAACCGAAGGACACCAATTTCAGATTGTGACCGTTTTAAGTTCCATTTTATCAGACTAAACCTAACTCTAGCTGCGAAATTTGTATTCACCCTGCCTCACAAGTAAATATGAAACAAATTATGAACAATAATTTCATATAATTGTGAAAAGCCAAAAACATATACAACATAACGAGAACACGAAGACATCATATTCTTGTGACACCCCCCAACATAGAAAACACACTACAACGAAATTACCCCAAAGAGTTTTTGACCTTGTAGAGCGAAAAGGTCAGGGCTCCATTGAAATACGGGTTTACCTGTCCATTCTCCCGCCGACAGTTCTTAATGCTGTTGTTACCGTAGTGCATATGAGCTTCAACCGGCGTCCACTTCACGGTTGGCTGCTGGTTGCCGACAGGGGGCGTAGCCTCCACTTCGATAACGGCCTCCGTTGGCCCGATCATGCCACACTTTCGCGCCATGTGAATGGCGGTAAGTTTGTTGTCACCTCATAACGTAAAAATGCGTATTAAATTTCCTCTTACGTCATTAGCATTTCAACAGAGCCCCCTTAAACCAAATATACAGATGTATGAGTGTCCACAAAAGTGGGTTACATATTTACCACGCGGTACTTCGATCAGGGAAGCAAGTTTTAATTCTTCTGCTCCCAATGCTCATAAAGTTCCTGTTCATAGCGAACAACCTTAATTTTTGAGAGCTACATTACAAACAATACAATTTTATACTCAGGCAATACTTCACCTGTTACCATGACAACTCTGAGGTCGGCCTTTTTGAGCTGAGCGATAACGGGAGCTGTCTGAGGCTTCAGCGTGTTCTGCAATATTATCAGTCCAAGCATCTGGAGGTCGCACTCGACCTCGTGCCTGTGCGAGTCAAAGGTCAAAAGTTACTGGATCGACAACCACAAGGTGAAATTCTATTTCACATTTGCAAGTGCACAGATTATAGCTACATGCCGCGGGTCAACTGTCGCGGGTTAACTAAAATTCGACACCGATAGGTAAACATGCTATCCAGTCTGAAAATGTACCAAATTTTGTGACTATATAACAAACTGTACCTCTGCAACTGTTGAACTGCTTTGTAGCTGAGTTTTTTGCCCAGTTCGCGATTTGCGATAGCAAGAACCCGCAATCCTTGCTGAGTGTAATCCCTCAAAACTTCTTCAAAGTCTGGAGGAACTGTGGCAGGCAAAATGAATTAAGGTGTCATTTCCTGGTGAAAAAAACTTGAGAAGTTTCCGCAGTTGACAGCATAAGGACGAAAATGGGTGTATGAAGAGAAGGGTGTAAAACCAATCAGGTTATTCAAACATTGCTGTCTTGTAATTGGAAAAAGTAAAAGTGAGCTTGTTCTAAGTCTCCACTTGTTGAAAATTTTATATTACTGAGGTAAACTGATTCCAAAATTTACCAAATCCGTCATTCATCGCTCGGCGCTTTAAAGTCATGACCTATCAAGACATCTAAAGTTGGAAATCCAACAAACTTTCCAAAATATACCCTCTTCCAATTTATTCTAAGCTGCAATTTAAATGGCTCGCATTCTAAAGCTATACCAGATAGCAGCGAGTACTGGATGAACTACCTGACGAAGGGTCACACATCAGGGCCACCGTCTCAGGAGCGCCCTTGACAAAAATACTGTAGTTGAGTGCATTGGACGTCTTGGTGATGACGCTCATTCGTTGGAGGCCTGACGAGAAAGGAAACTGCTTAACTATTCCAATCTCCACTTTCTGAAATAAAAAGATGAAATATATGCACATTAAAGGTTGAAAAAGAGAGACAAATGACTCTGAGCACCACGGCAAGTGGGGCACAAAAAGAAAATAATATTTGATTTCGTAGTAACATTTCCGTACCAGGTATTCAAGCATGGTTGCACAGAATTGGAACTGTGCCCTATTTGGAAGTTGTGACGCCGACAAAATGCCGGCTTGTAAAAACAAATCCAGTAAACGCACTTTATATTTTGGGCTCAATACCTCTTCGCCTTCAGACGAGTGGACAACGGTTGGCATGTAGTAATCGAAGTTTCCCAGTTCTCCTTCCTTCGGTTCGATTAAGTTCTGTGAGTAGAAAAAAATCCATGGGTCAAAGGATTTGTTCGTTGCTGTGAAGTACCTGATAATCTCTCAGTCCCCAAAAGACAACTGCTAAACATTGTGTGCGGTTCGCAAGTGTGGCGTCTTTCTATGTCAGGCCGCGCACACACACGTGCACTGAATCACTGCATCTCGGAGGTATACGTATTGCTAAGTGGTGTACTTATCTAATGGCTGATTGAACTTTACCAACAGGAGGCAGGTTCACAGAAAGCCGGAACTCCATGTAAATCATCTTCTCTTCCATCTGAACAATTTTGCTCACCCACTTGATGGACTGGAACATCTGCAGGTCCAGCGGATCACCTTTAAGTTCCCCATCAATCATTGTCAAGGAATGACAGGTTGCCATGGCGGCCACAAACGGCCCAAAGGGAAGTTTGGAAGGATCCGACACCATGACGAAACTGTGGGACAAATCAAAAACGAGTTCAAAAACGGGTTTGCAATTTGCAAGCCAAGCCATACGTCCCGTGTACCAATCTTGAAATTGTACCTATCCTTCTTGACATGCGACACGGCCAGCAGTTCAAGGTGATCTTCAGTCAGGGTACCTGTCTGAAAAAAAAGAGAAACAACAAAAGATATGATCACTTTTACTGAGAGGCATGTGAAAGTACTTTTTATTTCAATCAGAGTCTCTCTGAAGGTTTTATCTCAACATGCAGGTTTCAATTCTCAATATTTTATGAAAAAAGTGTGTTTCGCAGTGTTATGTTGCACAATTTGTAAATTGGAAATTTAAACGACACTGTGCAAACGTTATCTGCAGTATTCAAAGCAGCGTCGTAAACACATAGAAGAACAACAAGTGAAAAATCTCAGTAAGGCTGCTGTTTTAGTAGATAATTATGTGTTGAATCACAAAGTTGAATTTGTAAAGGTGAATGGATCGAATAAAGAGCCTTGGGTCAAGAGTAGTTTCCAGTCTAATAAAGTCGGGGGAAATGTTTAATCCCGCGGTGAGAGTGCAGGTGAAGACTTGAAAGGGAGTGCAAATAGCAAAAATTCAGTGGTTTGGACATCAGACACATCTCTCACTAATACCACTTTAATGCTACACCTCAAGTACATATAATAGACTGTCTTTTCGACCATGGCAGTTATTGTTTGCTGCAGGGATGAGGAAATTACCTTATCGAAACAGATGACGTCGAGCATGCCTGCTAAATTAATCCTCTGGGGGCTGATGCAGAAAATCCTGAGGTTCTTCAACCGCCTCTGAGCGTAAACCATACCGATGGTCAACGCTGCTGGCAAGGCTGGGGGCACGGCAATCGTGAAGACGTCTAAAGCTTTCAGAATAATGTCATGCGTCTTGGCCTGGCGGGTGGTGGAAACAAATCACAGTTCATCGCCACGTTTCTCCGGCAACTCTAAACTTATTTTCCTCCGTAAACGGTTCAAGCCTTAATCGGTGAGGTTTGCGAAGCATCGGACTTAAGGACTGAGTGTTAATGTTCGCTCTCTGTTTAGAAAAAAACCATTGACAGGATGCATGATTCCAGCAACGGTGGCTTAAGAAGTACCTTGGTTTGGGCATACGTCATTAACGAAACCCTTCTGCCGCGTGAAGGAAAATACCTGAAAACATGAAGTCCGATTATGCAAGTGACCACTTTCATTTGCAGTATATTTCATATCGACTGCAACAAACATCATTTTCTAGATGCCACTTGATATATAATCTGTGTCTTCGCAACTTGACAGGTCAGAAACCAAATGCAGGGTTAAATTTTCTAGTATAGAGAGTTTACATGGTTGCCATCTTGCAGGCCAGTGCTTTTGTTCCACAGGGTATGCACAAAGGATCCCTATGGAACAAAAGAACTGCCCTGCAAGATGGCTACCACGCAAAGGCTCTACGTTCCAAGCGCAGCTGACCACTTCCCATGATGCTCCACTGCTGGCGATAACAAAGACAACTGAAGCAATAACTCACATGGTGGAGAATCTTGATTGTGATAACGTAGGTCGCCCCAATGAACGCTAAAAGATGGAGGAAAGGATTACATGAAATAGTTTCACGAAACGGCTCCATTTTTAAGTACGCTATGACTTTCGAGAGGGTTTCGAGCATGGTGTTTGTCGGAAGAGGGCATGCCTGCCCTTATGCACCCTAAGGAATACGCATCCTAATGCAAGATAAAGTTTGGTCATCACTCATCGACCAAAATATGAAAGAGGCTTATGGAAACGAGTTGAACGCTATCTTACCAATGCTGGCCAGAATGCAGATGAACCTGATGGCGTCTCTGTGCAGTTTGAAGTCGATTGGTTTGGGGAAGAGAATCGACCTGACCAACGAACCCTTTGCTGTGGAAAAACCTGCACCAAAATAACCATATACAATGCCTCTAATGCAAATGGAACATGAGGATAAAGGTTTCCTAGTGATTCGTCAATCGTAAAATTCCAACCACATTAAGTTAATGATATGTTTACTATGCATTATGTTAAAGGACGCAGTGTGGTATCTGTACATCGTTGTTTTGCAGTGTAGACTTGTAACAAGACTAGTGGCGAAATTTGAAAGGAAATTATCTGTACGGCAAATATTTCACAGGATGGAAATACCACTCAGCAATAGACGTATTTCACTGTGGTTACTCATAATACTAACTTGAGAGTTATTGGGCATATTATTTCGATACAATTTTTGTGGCTTTAAAGAAGACGGCAAAACGGGCAAAGCGAGGCCAAAACATGGTGACAGACCTGCCCATCCGGAGCGACAAGCCCTACCTGTTCTGACAACCACCGCCAGTATAGGCTGATTCTCAGCCGACCGCCCTTGCAGTATTTCAGTACCGCAGAACAGCGTATGTCTCTTGTGGGTGTCTGGTGAGTACATAGGGGACTGCTCGTCCTCTCCCAGCGGAGGACATGGCAGCGGTGTCTTGGTGATTGGCACTGACTCACCTGCAGTAAAACCACACGAAAAAAGTGGCCTTTCATTTCAGAAACATGTGTGGTTAGGCAGAATGGTAAACAAGATCATCAAATTCCATTACATTGAATATTCTCAGTTGTCTAATCAATGCATGCAAAACTACAGGTAGTCTTGTAACACTGTGGAAATTGTTGCAGAGTACTCCAACTTCGTGTGGTGTTAAATTATCTCAGCAATTGTCTAAACCGTTGGTAAAATTGTGGTAAACTTCGGCCAATTCGGGGAGTGTAAATTTGCCAACGAGTATACGGGCAGTAGTGTTTGACCAAAGTTATAGATTAAAGTACCAAAATGCTGAGCAACAAATTGTTCAATTTTGAACCACTTTTAACACACAGAGTTCACTGTAAATGCCAGAAAGTCCGAGTAGTTTTTGCAATCTATAGCCGAGAGTAACAACCAGGACATAACTCAAATGAGATCAGACCTACATGAAATCTTTTCAGCACGAATACTGAAGATGTAAAAAATAAAGCACTGTTACAGATGGAGGTAAAACGTAAACCTTGCGTGTAGCTCTTGGATGGACATACCTGCTATATTGCATTGTGCAAAAATATGCGTTGACACCGAATTTTAGTCAAAGGATCTCAGTAATACAAGTTACAATTCCGTTATGCCTATTGTCAGTTTTGGAGTTTACAAGAACTTTCCTGATTTCTTAGAAGGATTTTTTGCTTTGACAGGTGGTAAAACGGTGAAGCTTTTGAGTGTCATTCAATCGGAGACAAAAAGGGAAGGCGAGGTCTTATGGAAAGGCTATTCACTCCACGGGTGCTATGCATGGCATAGGTACCCCCGATTTCCCTCGCATGTAAATGAATGCTATATATTGCTCTGTAGTAATTATTTCGATGCCTGAAGGTCTTTCCGGTGAAAAGACATTTTGTCGATTTCGCGCTGAATACTCCGTGATCTCTGCATTCGCTCGCTCGCTCGGGGGCGGGGGAACAGGGAAAACGGTTTCGGAAATTGCTTGCGTCTGTTTCAAGGTGCCAAGAGAATGCCCTAATATCCTTTTGCACTTTAAATACCCACGAACTTTTCCCGCCTTCGATGAAAAAAATGGCGCGAAACTAATTATGCAACGGCTGAATAATCAGTGCGGAGTGATGTCCTGGCCTTCAGGGACTGGCTCGCGTGATCGGAGCTGCACTTTTTGGGGTCTGATGCGTTTATTGGGCCATTAGAGTCCAACAAACTCTTGCAGATTTTGTAATTGAGACAGCACAAAGAGTGATGCGATGACTTTGTTTTTTGAAGATCGTCAGCGAAGCACGTGGCATTCGTGAGAAACAAGGCAGCCATGACAAGGGCGTTGGCCGACTAAGCACCGAGGACGATATTTTTGGCGTAATTTTGATAATGGGCCTTCTCCGTAAGGGGAGAAGCAATTATGTCAGTTGCCATGCACTCTGTACAGACGGAGATGGGTTGCAAGTTGACACTGTTCCCTGAGTTGATAAAAAAAATATCAAAATATCAGAATTTGTTCCTCCAAAACGTTGATCAAATTCTGCCCGAAGTGATCAACATTTTAGAAACTGTGGGTAATTCATACCGACTGACTGTCAAGGTAGCATTTCCCAAAATTTTTACAGTGCATACAGAGGCAGGATGAATGTAAATGGTCGTTGTTTCAAACCAGCCTCAGATATCAGGCACTCTGCCAATCTAATTCCGGCTTGGCAGCGGGCCAGACAGCCAACATACTGAGACCCTCCGTCCTACTTGACGTTGATACATATCGGCAATGCAACTGCTCCAAAAACAAAACGCTAAGAGACTTCTGGATCGAAAAACCACATCTATTACAGTAGCTCTCGTAACGTGCTGAGATCCCATCGAAGATCGATACTGTTAAATAAAGACCAATGCCGACAGAAATAAAACTTCCATTGCTGCCAAAAGGGGAGGAATAATTACATTCGACTGTACTTAGTTCGACCCGAATACCCCCCCCCCCTTTCTCTCACTCCCATTCTAAAGCCCCGGCATGTCGTGATTGCAAAGCCAACGGGGCAGCTCTGGGAGGCTCACGGGTCCTACAAAGAGGCATCGGACTCCCGTATCGATCTCCCTTGATAGTAATCACCGGTTTTCTTTGCTGTACTGGTGATGAAGGTTTTCTACTCTTGATCCGAAAAACACCTGCCCCCTGCTCCTCTGATATCCCCCTTGGTTTGCAACCTTGGAGGACGACAAAAATCCTACTCACGCCTCCCCCCGGCGGTATAGTAACGGCCTAGTCAAGCGTGCGGTTTACGGGAACGGCGAGCCAGTAAGCCAGCGCGCCGTGTCAGGCAGGAGGGGACCGGAGTAGAAATGACGTTGCTTCCAGTGCTGATACCTGGTCCACGCTATGACGCGCCGTTCTCCCAACGTTACGACGGACCGCATTCCCGTCAATGATTTCCAAAATCTCCGGGGAAACAAAACCAGACACGTGCACCAGCCGATGGCTGCATACAAAGAATCTTTTCACAAGAGTTTTTTTTATAATTTATAGTTTATTTTCCAGAGCACGGATTTGTATGTCAGACGCATAAGTCTTGGTACAGGTACAGCAAAAGATGGCCTAAAACTTGGAAGTTCCTTTTTGTTTCTTTGAATTCACGTTGCTGTGGAACAGTTGTGAGAACAAATATGCCCATTCCTTTAAAAACTTACAAGAGCCTAGTAATGATGGGATCATGACGCACAAGGCAGTGAATCTATGTCACAGAGAGACCCAGACGAGTCTTAACAGATTTTCCAAAAAGCCTTGCTGCCGCCATCAGTTTCAGTCCCAGAAAGTGCTGCTTGGACGGTTGCAAAATCTGACCTTGGGGTGCAGCACCTCCATTCATCATTTCCCGCCATTCTTGCTGGTTCCCACATCACTTTACGTCCCGTTCCTCTGAGCAATTGCCGTTGGTATAGTCCTAAACGCTGGCAGGGCGCTGATGACGTCAGGGAAGGTCAGTCGCCCCTACATCGGCGGCGCACTTTATGAGGAATCGACCAGCACGTGGCTTCAAAGGTGCGAACACCATCGACCAACGACGGTGGATTTGATGCGGCTTTGATTCAAGACCTTACACGGAATCGTCCGGATCGGTTTTTCATTATAAGAAAAAAAGTTGCAGGAATATTGAGCAGATTTTTATGAAAGGGTGATGGGGGATATTTTTGGAAATGAAGTGCAGCGGACGAGTAGACTGCCGCCAATGTGACGGCGCGAAATGAAGTGCGAACTTATGACCCACTTTCACCAGCATGAGGCAGATCCAAGAATATTGCAAGAACAGCTTCCTAGGAATTCGCAGTACAGATGTTCTCAGGAAAGCTAAGAGGACTTTACCAACTAGATTTCACTCTGTGCTAGCCAGACAGCCTGACCCGGAATGCTTTTCATGAGGAAATAGCAGGATACGAGGGCACCTAAGAGATGGCGATTCTGTTTATAGTGTCTTATCTTACAGGTTGTAATCTTAAGTGTATTTAGAATTTTTGGACACCGTTTATAATTATGTTCTGTCTATATCGACAAGTGGAAAGTGTAATAAAATAAATTGAATAAATACAGTAAAATACAGCACCCACCGGTCAACATGCTCTCGTTGACAATGCAGTTTCCGCTGATGAGAACGGCATCGCAGCTCATCATACATCCTCGAGTCGGGAGCTCGATCAAATCGCCTGGAACCAGATCCTTAATAGAGATCTCCTCCAACTCTGGAGAAAGAATTGCGCACACAATCACCTGTGCATATCAAATCTAAACGTATTATTTGTGAGTGTATTGGGTGATACTAACTCGGTATGAAACCCTGCTGGGGGTCATTATGACAGGACAAGTCAAGGAAAATAAGGAAAGAGTTTTTTTAATTTTTCAATACTTTTAGTAGTTTCAGTATTTAGCTTGAATGTTTCGGAGTTTCACACTGAAACGAAATAGGCAACATCCGGGGAAAACTTGCACTAAGACAACCTCGAAACAGGTGCAAGCCCCATACAAGCCCAAAACCCTGGACCCCCCCCCCAAATTCGGAAGAAGCCGTGCCATCGCAGCTTTGTTTGCAGTTTTTTTAAAGACCTTTGAGACGATAGCCTTATTTTTAAATTTTTTTTTTCAAAGTAAACTTTATCGAACTGATCCACCAAATAACACAAAATGGACCCATTGGCGGATAACAGGAATATCCAAAGATCTTCTTATCTGCAAAGTTAAGGAATGCCAAAACAGGTGCATTGTGTGTTTTAAATCAGTGTAGTATAGTATTAATACACTTCAAATTGGGAAGATGCAATTAACTCGCTGTATTAATAAGTTACGGATGTCTTTTGGAACAAAGTAGATAAATTCTATGATCGCGGGGATATTAAAAACGAGGCCTCCGCGGGCAAAGCTCCACCCCGAGCAGGAAATTCATTACAACCGCAGCCAGAATTCACACCTGCAGTTTCACCAGACGGCAAAACCTCTGGAATTTGCATGCAAATCACTCTGCTATGGTGTAAACAAGAGGGAGCGAAAAAAATCATGAATGGTTGGAGAATTAATGTTATGGAAAGATTGAGAGTGCATGGTCATTTAAATTTTGACCGGAGTGCACATGCGCAGGACTCCAGTATGCGCGGCACAGTATACGTAGACCTAAGACTGTACAGCGACGCTACGCGGCGCTCTACGATCTTTAAAGTAGACTACTTTGATCACTCACGCCTGCACAGCACACCTTCCCTGCGCGACAGGAAAGTTAAGTCGCAAGTGCCTGCAACGTTCCTCCTTACATGTTTTACTGCTCAGTACACCAATTCACGCAGGACATAATTTGGTCACTTAAATACTCTGCCCATCCAAAAATGGCCAAATGGAGACTTATTACAAAGCATGAATAAGGTGTTTAAAAGAGATTGGTTCTCCGAAGCACGACCCATTGGTATCATATTTCACTGTAAAACTCTGTCACCACCTAAAATTATTAAGAGCTGGATAAATATACAAGGTGACTGCATTATCTTATGACTCATGTAGGATTTTAATATATTGCTTCGGCGAATTCGCTTTCGCTCGTTGAAAAAGGTAACACCTTGATCTCTTGAAGTATGTCATGGTGTCACCGCACACACCGTGCCTCATGATTTCTCTTGCCTCGGGTATCGGGTTGATGCAAAGATTAGGGAGGGTGCCAAGACATGGATGGGGAGGATTTGGAGCAGATCATTGTGTGATTTCAGGAAATCTGCCTTATGAATCTGCGCCAGCGGCTGACTTACGCATGCCACGTTTGAAGGGTATAATTGGTGTCATTTCGGGGATCTGAACAATGGATGCAAAATACACCTCTGCTGCTAGTAATTTCTTAGAATTGATAAAATAAGCTGATGAGTTACATAACTTTTCGGTCAGATGCAATGAATGTATGGAAAATCTATTTCACTATCGAGGCTGCTTCGAGGAAATCATATTGATGCCATTATGCTGTTTACGATTTTTCAGGTGAACGACAGTTCTCTGAAAAGTAAGCATTATTTCTTTTTAACTTGTACTTACGTTGGTTCCCCCTCCAAATGGTGACTGTACCTGTGGTTTTGACCATACGCCGCAGGGTCACGCTTTGCTGAAAACAAAACAATTAACAGTGCAGTGCTGAGGTGAAGAGGCAGATGCAGAGATGCAGTGTTTCGCTATCGGGGACCTCTTAAGATGGTGGTCTGTAAAGGTCCTCTCATCAAACCACCTTTCCCAGGCAGGCAAAAGTCAATCAATTAAATCTTGATGCAAGAACTGGTATAATGCACACGAACAAACTGGATGTGGAACTCTTTTGCAAGAGCAGGAATTTCCTTGTTAAGTTTGACGGAAAAATAATAATAACAACATTGATGCATTTATGTAGCGCCCCTTCCATCTAAGATCGATGCTGCTGGGCGCTTACAATACACAGTTAAAACAAATATTAACAAGGATTATTATAATCTCAGAACCTAATTAAATATTTATACAATAAAAATACCAATTCAAAAATTAAAATCACAGAACCCACTCAAACACTTATAATGATAATCACATTACAAATCATAAAAATACCTCTCGGAATAAAAACGTTTTGAGCCCAGATTTAAAAACATCAATACTCCCCGTCTCCCTCAGGCACACATCAAGTTTGTTCCCATAACTTGGGAGCGATAGCAGAAAAAAGCTCCCACGTGGAAAGCAGGAAAAGGTTGATATAAGTTTCTTTCTAGGGCCACAGCACCACTCTGTAGTGTCCCTCTTACCTGACGGGTACTGTACACCGTCAGCGCGATGGAGATGAGAGACATCAGCACTATGGCCAGGGAGAAGTACACATAGTGGTACCCAAAGATCCAGAGGCACACGCTGTAGATTTGGAATACGTAGAACGGGTTCAAAGCCTGAAAAAGAAAGGACAACCCAGAAATAGTCCATCACATATAATGCATACTTGTACATCGAATTTTAATTTTAAAAAATCGATATGGCGCACCTCTTAGTCCACCAAAGGGTATGGGTTTCCTTGCAATCTTCTTCATTGTACGTTCATTTTTTCCCCCGTTGAACGGTGGGTTCCATCAAGATTATGCTCAATTCTAAAGCTACACTTGAATCCACAAAGACGAGCGTGTGCTGTGTTCAAAACAGCCGAACCTACTAACCACATCCCTTGCCCGTTTTGACTTTAAGTGGACGACATGACGTCACATAATGTACAGACGCCTGACTTATATGTTGTATATGCTACCATGAAACTCAGGCCTCGTTTTCCTTTTTTATGATTGGCTCAAAGAAGTCGTTTTCTTTTTTCGGCCCATACCAACCAACACTAAAAGAAAATTTGTTAACACGTCGATATATCAGAAACAAGGGTAAGATAGTGACGTCATGAGCAAAGTCTCAAATGCCAGTAATAGTTACAATTATGTTATACGCCCTGAAAGTCATTTCGTAGGGTCGCATTCAGTTATCAACAGATGGCGCGATATACAGTTGTGACATCAAGTTTAGCTAGGTCTTGCATTGGTTTCACATCCCAGGGTAGTCCGCCTACCGAGGTTCCGACTCGTATCATTTCTGCCTCTTTACCCCTCCCTGGACAGACCCCGTTTCAGCCTACTTGAAGACCAACCCAGGGATCCCCATCATACTCCTGGGCAGAAGCCGAAAAAAATGAACAATCTCAAATCGATCCTGAAATGGAGCGCTCGGGGCACGCTGCTTTCGCCGTGTGTAATTAAGCGGAAGTGTTAGAAAGGGACTCCGCGAGTTCATTGAGGTAACTTCAAGTCAGAGCTGAGCTAAGAGAGGTCTGTGACCACTACACACTCGGTAATCATAATAGATTTCCCCTTCAATACCAGAATTCCTCCAAGGAGGGCAATCAGGCGCGGATCCGGGGGTAGGGGGGGTCAACCCCCCTCACTCATTACAATTTTTGTCCAAATAAATATTTTTTTAAATGCCCCATCTTTTAACACGAATTCCTGGATCAGCACCTGGCAATGGTATGTCTAATCTTTCAGATGTGAACTTAAAATCACTTTTGAAACATTAACATATCCTAGAACGATTCCTGCAGCTTTAGCTCAACATAAAATCGATAAATTGGAAGCAAAAGAAATTCTACGACAACACAATTTGTCGAGCGCGGAAATTTTTACGCAGAAAAACTGGGTAACATGCAGCAGAACTGATTTTGCAGATTATGTGGATTTGTAAGTGGTTCCCAGCTCATTTTTGAACTCGAATGAACCAATTCCTTATTTTTTTAAAAAGGCACGCGCGTGCGAGTCCGCGAAGGGCCGCGCTGAATGGGCAGACCTCCACACGCGCGTCCGAATGACCTCATTTATATCATGGAATACCTAAGTGGCTCCGAGTTTCAGCAATATTTGCCTCTGATCAGCTCCTCAATGAAGCCTTGTTCTTCAGCTTACCTCCTGGAAAAACAGAACAATCAGCGGCCTTAGCGCTATGTCGATCTCGTTGGCACCGTAAATGTCCCTCCTGACGGAAAAACAAAAACTTCCTGAAGTTCATCGGAAGGTATCATCTTACCCTCGCAGCGGCTTTTCTCTGGTACACATTTACAATTGTTGTACAATTCGACAAGGTACGTTTTTACAGTAATATGACAGAATAAATATACATGTATTTGAACTAGATTTGTGCAGTTACCAAAATGTATCTGTAATATCTATTGATATCTATCAATATTGTGCCTGGGTTATTCTTCTTTCTACCAATGCCCATCAGCAGTGGCGGCGCTAGATGGTGCCATGTGGGCGTAAATGCACCAACTGAAAAGCCGCTGGCACCCGCGTAAATTTTGTCCCATATTACGACAGGGCGACCAACCTTTTCGTGTTAAGACCCGGACCATAACCCAGGAAAAATAAAGGATCATTTGCATGCACGCAATTCTGCCCTGCCCCAAGCACACTTGCACCGCCACCACCGAGGTCTGGTTCACCTGGTGCATACTTTGATTTTTAGACAATAGAATTCTTATGTATACTCCATACAACTTCAGATAAACACAATTCTTCTGACAACTTTAACAACCAAATTTCAACCTCCAAAAAAAAAATAATGGAGACTTTGATGTCAGATGTTACGACAGCAACTTTGCTCGATATCAGGGGAACTTTGAAATACACACCGGGATTTCTGTTCGTCGGCCGTGAATCCCTTGAATGTCTCAAAGATTTCATTGCAGGTCACACCAGATTCAAGACCCCTGGATGGCAACATCAGAAAAAAAACAATTACACTTCTGCATTACAACAGTGGAGAATCCATTTATTCCATGCAGCCAATAATTAAGCATGACTTCTCGTACACATCGCAAACCATTTTAGATAACGGCAGAGTTGACAACTACATTAAGACAACATGAAAACAATGGAGAAGGAGGCTGACGAAATCACGTAATCGATGACAATACTTCTAAGCAAAAAAGAAAAGGTCAGTGGAAACGAGACTGTAATATTACCTTAGTTTATAAAAGTTGAATCCTTCTGTATCCCAAATGTACTTCAACTTCTGAAATCGTATGTATCGCATTCCAGGGGTCTGCACAGGTAGAAAAGTTGAATTTTATGAGGCGAAAACTACTCAAACTGCAAATCGCAATAGATCTCCTTTGAGATGTTTCAAAAGGTTGCTACTATAGCAGATTCTCAGACGAGAGGAAAAGGATGAACGCTGAAGTTGTTTGCATTCAAGTTTTACCTCGTTCGTCATGCTTCCGTTCAAGTCCTCCTTTTGATTTCGGTGGCCTTTCTTCTTTCTTTTTTCCCTGGAGAAAAAGCGAACTCCACGGAAATACTTTAAACTGTTTCATTTATTCATAAATGGATAGCTTGTCAGGTTGTAGAAAGTTCTTGTTGTGCTTTGTGTTAAGACGTGTGGTCGTCTTCCTAAAATTTAAATTTAATTTCCAAAATTACTGAAAGAAAATAACTTGCCTTAGCAGAGATCAATGCAATGTGAAATCAATAATTTAAGTTACAAAGTGGCAGACTTACTTTGGAAGCCTGTCCTTTGAAAACCTCACTCGAACAAGAAACCACTGCTTGTACATGTCCTGAAAAACATACAGAGTCAGGAAATCACCGAAAGTATGTCGGCTTTCAGATGGCGAGAAGGATTTGGAATTAATTGGGGGGGGGCTTAGTTGTAATTTCGCTCCCTATAATTGTAATGGCATGAAAAGTAAATTTCAGGTTTAAATTTTTGCATTGTTGGGTTATTGGCCCCTTTTTATAATTGTTTTGTGATTAGCTGGCCATAATTTCTAATGGTTGAATGCGTGCACATTATCAGTCTCTCCTTTGCTTTAATATGACGAGGACAACATTTAGTATTTGGGAGTAGGGGTGAAAAAGCGAGTAACCAATCATGCCGGCCACTACATGCACCTAAACATTTCTACGCTGACGTCAGCCGACTTCCTACCAATCCAAGACGCGCTTACTTTGAGGAGAACCGTATCCGCATGGTCCAATCGCGACTGCCGGTACATGAATCTGGCCGCCCAGTTGGGCTTCCAATACATGGCTGCCAAGAACAGACCAGCGGTGAAGACCCCCAGAATGTAGCAGAGGACAGTCCGCGGCGTGTCTCGCCTGAGACCGTAACACTCCTACAGTCCGGGGACAGAAGGATACAAGCAAGTGGTCAGTTGAGCGCTCTGCACACTGTTGGTGCTTTACGTGACGACGGATGCACATGGCCTGAAGGGATCGAATGCAAACCCTCAAGATGGCTGTCGTGCAAAGTATCAGACCATGTCCAAAGTGCATAGGTGTACAGCTAGGAATAACAGTCGTATTAAATAAATTCACGGATTTGGAAGTCTAAAGCAGCTATTACAAACTGTAAAATGTAATACCTTTCAACAATACTGATATTTGTAGGTGTAAAATCATTTCCAAGTAAAATGAAGCAGTTGAAGGGTGGTAGGCTAATTGCGTTTTAACATAGTTTGCTTCCATCAGACTGGCTAGCGGTTTTTCATATTTGGTTGTTTGACTTGAAAATCATGCTTATTGGAAAAGTAGAGACACCTGGGGGAAATTCACACTTAAGTAATTAATCAGAAAGAAATTCACGCTAACCGGGTACGTGAGGATAATTAACGGTTCAACTCCCACTTGTTCATGATAGCCAGTCTTTTTAATAAGCCATTATATTTGCATTGTTTGGCACGTGGACACGCCATTCAGAGGTGAGATTCCAATGAGAGTAATTATGGTTCTTACACCTTCATATACGAACGGTCAAAAGGCCTAATAACAGGGTAACGATGTGGGCCCAGATGGGACCGCGATCCTTTGCCACGGATCCAGAGGCCATTATTATCAGAAGGCCACGCCATTATTATCAGAAGGTCACATCAAATGATCATTTCGGATTGTCTCCGTATAGACCGCAAATTAAGATTGCCTAGGCCACGGTTACTGAATTCAAAGCCCTGCACCTACAGCAAAAGTTTCTACCATCATTGACGTCTCAATCTGGGATTCATTAAACTGTTTTCCCATCCTCAAGAATGCGAAAAATTAAAGAGAAGTGGGCCAAAGAAGGAGAATGCGGAGTCGAATATCCTGGGAACCCTTTTTTAAAGCAGCTGATTATATTTCTGGGATTGGGAAACGATCGTGAGCTTCTCCACCAAACTGGTAACCATATTTTGGGAAATTTTGTTCTGGTCGTTTTTAGTCCCGCACTTACCACTTCATCCTCGCTCCCCTCGTTGAGAATAGTTCGCTCTGGTAACGGAGTATGCATGCTGTAAAAAAAGGAAAAGAAAATTAGGTCAGAATTGGAATCAGAGTGTCTTTAATTAAAGATTTCATAAAATCTTCAATGATATTTGAATGGCTGGTTTTAATTGTGAATCTGGCACGCTAAAGACTAATGGAGCTCTCGTTTTTATCAAGCGTAGTGAACCCCAATCAGTTTACAGTCGAAAAACTTTCTACACAAAGACAACTTTTGCCAACGAAATTCAGTCTGCCTTCAGTGAGTTGTCCGATACCACGGGCCACTGTAACCGTTTGTTGTTAGAGAAAGAAGCTTTCTGTCACTGAGTTCAATAGGTGCTACCAACTTTGATGACCTCAAAACCCACCGAATTGAATCGATCAAAAAACGTCTGAATTTCAAGAACCTGGCCGGCCCTCTGCCCTTGTAGCGCGTTTGGCAAGGTACTCCAACCTTCCTCGAGGTTATAGTATTGTGCATTTCAATGAAACAACGCCGGCAATGCGACAATACTGCCTTCTTTAGGTTTGCTCTAAATTAGACTTGTAGAAACGGGAATGGGGTTGAAACAGGTGAAATATGTCTGCCGTGTGATCGGAGGGAATTTGCATGTTTGTGTTTTTTTTTCAAATTGAAAATGGCTCGACATTCCTTACGACACTACTTATGCTGAAAATGGTGGCGTTCTTCACCTTCTTAGGGACCTATGAACGCAAGCCTCCTTTTAATTAATGCCCAAGCTTCGACGCTTTTCCGTTAGATAACAGAGAATAGTTTGCCCCATGTGGGGCTTTGGGGTACAGCAGTCCCTTTCAACATGGGATGCCAGATATGGGGCGGAGAGAACCCCCCCCCGCCTTTGTGTTGGTCATTATTTGATCGGAATCTCAGGAATTCTTTACAGACTTCGGGGGGGGTGTTAGGTAACAATAGTCTAGAGTTTGTATAGAGATAGGACATGGGGGCACATCAGCCCCATATCGTTCACGGTATCATTTTTAACTGCACTAGGAATACGCGTTCTTAGTGCCATTGAAAGGGATACCGTGCACGGTACGGGGCTGATGGGTACCCTCCCCCCCCCATATGTCCAATCCCTAAATACACTCTAGAAGCTCTAATGGATCACGAATCGTCACAACTTACGGACGAGAAGCTGATCTAGTATGTGGATTTAACAGGGCTTATATCCACGGATCGGATCAAAAGAGCGACTGAATGCCTGTCCAGGCATTATAGAACGCACCAACAAACCTTCGCAAGCACTGAAGTTGTCGCTATTTTGTTTCAGTCCCTTTGAGTAGCCAATGTGACACCGGGCGCTACAAAAGTGTATGGTTCGGATATATGAACAAAATACATGCTACCCCCCCCTTCATGAAGCCTTCGACGAGATTCTCAAGATTTGTTATTTGATTGTTGACGTGCAAAGTTGACGAATCAACTTTTGTATAATATTTACTTACTTCCCATACGATGGGCCCACACAGAAGAGAAAAGTTGTAACTGATAGAATTACAGTGCAGAACACGATTTCCAGGTGGTACACCTCCAAGTACACGTTTCTAAAGAGGGGTCTATTTGTCCTACTGTGTAGCCTACACTTATATATTTCTTTAAACAGCAGATATGCTCGAACAACTTAGGACAGAGGGCAAACAATATTATCAATGGCTGTATTTGTTATTTTTTCGAGTTGGCAGAGTCAAAGTTCATTGAAACTGCCGTATGCATTGTGCAATTGATGTTATGGATTCGTTGAAGAACGGGCAATGTATTTACGGACTAAAACTGAATGACTGCACAGACTCAGTCCAATCAATTTCATGTAGGAAATTAGAGTTTGGGTGGGAGGGTGGATGTACAGGTATGTTTATGTCAGTAGCGACACGCAGCAGCCGTCGATGCTTGCAAGACTACTGACCCTTTGACGTCACCAGCTGCAATGTTCTGTTCCATGTGTCAACTCCACTGAAGCACTGTGTTGTTGACGGTACGGCTGGGTTTTTTAACCGCTCGACATCGATCGAAATTGCAACTTGAAAAGTGACCAGCAACTTCAACAAAATTAACCATTCTAAATGCCAGACCCACTCTAAATGTCAGACCCAAGTCTGACCTTTCACCCCACTTAAAAACACGCTAACTCCTCAAAAATCAACTACGCACATTCGTACAAATTAATCGATCATTGATCAATTCAATAGTCACAGCTTCACAAAGTCCATCTACAAATAGATACGCAAAGTAATCGATTAGAACACTGGAAAAATACACCAAGTTAGAAACTTACACTGAAAAAGAAGATTCAGTAGTTTATTATCTGTCTCCCTTCTTGAAATGAATCCCACACTTTGCTACTACCGAAATTATTGTTGTACATAGGATTTCGAAAAGTTTTTACAGACTTTTAAACAGGGACAGCAATGGAACGATGAGAAGGGAAAACGTACATTGTCAAACGTAGAATGCCCAGATACCATGTGGTGAAACACGAACAAATCCACCAAATTATCAAAACACGTCGATCAAGGACGACACTAGGGACGTCAAGCATGAACTGCGCCAAACACATTCTCAAAGCCAAACCGAGAATCAGAGTGGATTTTTACAGTCACCAAATTCCTGTGCCCATGGAAGCATGGCTACTAGTTTGCAGTGTATGGACCATGCAACTAAGAAGACTTACAGATCCACGGGGATTCAAAAAGGTTTTAACAACGTTTCGATTCGCTTACACTAGTTGTAACTGGTGAACTGGCAGGGTAAAAAAAAATCTCATCAACACCTGCACCGAGAGGATCCTGTAGAGTTTCGGAGTGTTCATTGACCGGCCAACTACAGCCAGTGAAGACGAGCTCGACGGACGAACGGTCCTGTTAAAAAAAACACTACAGCACTCCCTGTATAAACGGGGTCAACGGAAGAATACGCCACTCGGCAAGAAAACAGGGACGCGCAGGAGAAATCAGCTGTCCCTCGCGCGAGTGACAGCACCCTTGGAATGCATCGGTGAATGAGGAGGGAGGGAGGGAGGTTTGTAATTAATATCTGGAATTGACGCGAGCCGACATTGTTAAGCGAGGGGAGGACAACCGAAGGCTTGCCTGCCAGAGGTGTCGAAACATCGACTTGGGGGATGACAGGCTAGAGAGATGCCCCAAATAGATGCAGTTGCAACGTCTTGTGGGTCGTATACGTGGAAATTAATGAAATGTTGTAGCATCTGCTGGATATTACTGGGGGTTTTGTTGATGTGAGCATCGCTTGGGGAACAACGATTTTGACAAAATGGAACAAATATCGTTGACTGCGGGTTGGCGGGTAGAAAACAGGGTTTCCTCACAGCCGAAGGACAAAGGCTACCACTGAAAAAAGGAGGAAACCGGAGGTCGATTTGAGGTGTAAATAGGGAAAGCAAGGAGAAGCAAAAGAACTTTTGGTGTGGAACCTGGAATTTCACATCAATCATCCTGTATGACTTTGTTATTATTTCTAAGTTTTGCTCGTTTGGGCAAGGTCTCTGGCCACTGGCTTTGTACCCCTAAGTTTAACTGTACTCAGTGTTAAGTTTACACTCACTGGTGTGTGGAAAGAGGTCACATTTAAAAAGTCGGTCAAGCGTGTCACGTCATGCAAGGGTTAAAACAGAAACACGCCCAGCAGTCCTCAGCAGAATTTTAAAGATCCATGTACATCACACTTGAAACTCAAAATTGTCAGTTAAATGATAAAAACATGCAGGACAGGGCATGACGTGAAGTCAGCCCATAACTATGATTTGATCCTCAACTTTTATACTTTTTCCCAGAGATAACTCTGCGTGTCTGTGACTCGTCGTCTGTCCTCATTAATTTAGCCAAATTGAACGAAGCTTCGTTGTTACTACAAACATTCCGTGGATAAATTTTTTTGGCAAGACGCCACTTTGCTGTCAACTCACTGTGTCACTTATTTCCAGCATGTCAGCATGCTCCAGTTCAAACTATTGACCTTTTAACGACAACGAAATCTAAGCAGATAGAATCGTTGAACTTATTAATGAAATGGCTGCCTGAAAATGCAGGGCTGATATAAACCGCCCCAAAACACCAAACACACTTGAGCTGCACATTCATTATACACTTTGTTCACCAGCAAGTTTAAATATGGTTTTAGTAGCACTGACCAAGGTTTATGGGGAGGCGCCCGTGAGTTTTGGATTTTTAAGTTAATTTTGTCGCATGCGTATTTTGGGGTGTTAAGCCGAAATTTTCAGTCTGACGTTTGGAACAATTTTGCACCAAAGTGAATACGTCACGCGCAGAATTAGTGTGTAAAAGGCATTACCGCGAGAACCAGTGCGTGAACCAACACGCGCGCGTACTCCATTCGTTTGTACAGCACTTTCTGGTTCACAGTGACGTCACACTTCGGTACTCTAATAAGCTAAGTACCAAAGTGAATACGTCACTTGCAGAATTAGTGTGTAAAAGGCATTAGCGCGAGAACCAGCGCGTGAACCAACACGCGCGCGTACTCCATTCGTTTGCACTGCACTTTCTGGTTCACAGTGACGTCACACTTCGGTACTCTATTAAGCTGAGTACCGACGTGAATACGTCACGCGCACAATTAGTTTGTAAAAGGCATTAGCGCGTGAACCCGCGCGTGAACCAACGGGACAGTGGCAATGAATCAATCAAATTATGACACGTCCACAATAAACCTACAAAACACGTATTTAAGAATTTGTTCTAAATATAATATTTATGCTCTTTACTGCTAACGGCATTTTTATATTAAAAGCACATTCTAGAACAAGTTGTACAGATATTGGTAATAGCCCGTGTATAAAATCGCAGAATAGAAAGAAACTTCACGGTTGCAAGCGAAACAGAGAAAGTTTATAATCCTACCTGTAGCTAAAAGGCTTCAGACTTCAGACCTGAAATAAACCCCGTTTTTTCAGTACAGCACGTGACGTTGACTTAGAGGCAGAGACCAACTTTTCCAGTTCACCCAAGGGAAACCTCTCAGAAATGCCTCTCTCCAGTGGCTTATTGTCCTGTATTCAAAGACGTGTGCTATCTGCAAAGTCTGGTACTCAGATGCAGAAATTGTTTCGTTCCGCACTGTTTGAACAGGGGCTAAATTTGCCAATGAGTGGAGGGCCGACCGGAGGGGGGGGTGACGTCGGATTCGCACTGCTTATGTATCGAAGTCTGGAAGGGTCGATCCTCCTTGATTGCACTGCAAGTATCTCATAACGGAGAGGAACATGAAGTGACGAGTAGATGTGCGGCGGTAACTACCTGACAACACCAAGCCCTCGCCAACGGGCGTCAGATAGGCAACTGCCGGAGGAGTTACACGGACGAGCCGCTCCAGCTAGCTTAGCGTCTAGAGGAGAGGCCGTGGGACGATTCGCCCAATCCGTCCGGAACAAGAGAAGAGTGCCTCTCCGCTTCGTTGGCGTTTGGGACCTCCTTTTGTGCCGGTGTTGTTTCTGGGAGAGTCAAAAGGAAGCCGGCGTTGCTTGTCGGTGACTGTCAGGGTAACAACTATCAACCCACAATTTGTAATCAAAGCCGGTGATGTTTTGAGCGCTGTGATGTCACACACCGTCACAGATTCATCCTGCATATGGGTGATTCTACTGCAGTGCGAAGGGGTGGGCGCAAGTAATAAAAAAGGCAAGTCCAAGTGCATACTCCCTGAAATCGCTTATACACACTCCTTGCAATTTACTAATTGCGAGCAAAGAGTGGGATCGGGAGGGGCAACGGGGGCCACCCCCTCCCCAGAAAGGATCTATTTTTTAATAATGAGCTATAGAAAATTTTTGGGTTCATTTCATTTATCTTCCTTCCAAAAGTGTGTCAAAGGACCCGAAATGGAGCTGCACCCCTGACGTCGGACATAAAAGAAATACATGGAAACAGTTTCACAGTTTTTCCCCCGCCCCTTCCTAAGAGCAAATATGTGTTCTCGATGCGCCCTCGATGGCTGGGCTCATCAAGAACTCTAATGTCTCATTTAAACTGAGAAGCCGTTATCCCGATGTGAAATTCCCGCTGTTACTTTTTTTCTCAGATACTTTTTGACAGTGATCCGCTCCTGAAAAACAAGGCAAAACAATGACTTGCTTGACGTCACTCATCTATGCTCAACAATTCCAAAAGCTATGCGATGTTTTAAGATGCCTTGAAGACAAAGTCCGATTTTCACGAATTCGGAATAACATTGCCCAGATCACTGCACCGCAGTGGATCAATAGGTGGCTCGGTTAACTCAGTACTGTTGGTTGAGGGGCACAGTCTTAAAGCCAAGGTTGGGGGTTCGAGCCCTACATCGGGGGACTGGAACATTTCGTATTTTTATTAGTTCATGGCTTCTCAATTTTGCAAATTCAATAAATTTGGAAAAGATTTTTTCATCAAATTTCCCGAAGACAACCGCCCGGTTAGCTCAGTCGGTAGAGCATGGGACTCTTAATCCCAGGGTCGTGGGTTCGAGCCCCACATCGGGCAACCGCAAGTATTTTTATGCAACAGTTTTTTTGCGTCTTCAATAATGTTAAAACCAATTTGTTCATCTATTTTTTTAGAAAACATCTGCCCGGTTAGCTCAGTCGGTAGAGCATGGGACTCTTAATCCCAGGGTCGTGGGTTCAAGCCCCACATCGGGCGACCGCGAGTATTTTTTATGCAACAGTTTTTTGCAACTTCAATAATGTTAAAACAAA